ACTAAGTCATTAACTGTTGCTCTGAACAGCATCAGGAAATGAAAGATTTCTCGCTGGAGCTCGCTCAAATGGAACCGGCATACACTCATGTCAAGTCCTGTGGTGATCATGGTCGTCAACTGTTGTAACCCTTCTTCAGGTTTACAATGCGTTTTCCTACAATCTCAAAGTACCTAGTACCGTGTCCTATTATATAGATCTACGCTATGAAAATCCACACTGGGTAAATTGATGTTTAGTCACTGATTTATAATGTACTATATCGTATTAGTCTGATTAGCAAGTTCAAGATATTTTCTTGGTTTAATTTAGCGTAACAGATGGAGAAAAATATTTCGATCGAAATCTTTAGTCTAGATACGTACTTTTACTCAACCAAACTTTATTTTCGACACAAAATTTTTTAGCAGGCAACTAGGCATTCAATTAGTCCTTTAATATACTCAATTATTCTGACTGTAATACAGGTCATGTAAGTTAGCGAAATCTTATCAAACCTGTCAAATTATTGAAATTCCCTTTCAAGCTAGTTAAAAAATAAGGCCACATGAAAACATTAATGTACTATAAAATGTGATTAACAGTACAATGGGGACCAAGCAAACTAGTTATGCAAAATAAATACCATGAACAGAGATCCAGAGTGCAGATATTAATAATTCTTTTATGACAACTCCACAAACTGCCTGACCTTGAGTAAGGATGAGTAAATTCGTGATCACAAGATGTCATAGTTGCACAAGACTAAAGTGACTAATTATATTTTAATTTAATAAATTTGCATATTTTCTACTTATTACTAGGCTAGTACGTAACCCACCCTAACCCGACCGTTGCTGCTACCTTGACGTGGTGGTCGGGCTTGCCTATCGTGATGATCCAATCGAGCTATGCTGGCTGGAACAATCGTTCCTCGAGGTCCTACCATGCCAGACAGGTCGGTTGAAGAGCGGTGAGACTAAAAGCAGCAAACCAAAGGTCCGAAGGCGAAGTCGTACTGCTGACTGTACAGAGGTGTGAAAGCAGTAAGGTGTTTCCTTCAGACAACCAGCATGACAGCGATGCTGCCTTCCCACAAGGAGGGGTGGGGTTAGAAAAGGTCGACCCTAAAAATGCACACCTCGCCTTATCCCACGGATATCCGTCTCCGGCGGTAAGGTTTTTTTTTTGAAGAACGGAGCTAACACAAAAACTACCCACAAAAAGGTCGTGTGTGACCGACCTCAAGCAGTTGTCCCTTGGGCACTGCGGTCACGCTCTCAGGTCATTAAGACCACTTCTAACCCAATTTCCTTTTCAGGTACCTCTAGAAGAATCCTTCCACGGTGTGGGCAACCGGGAAGTGATAACTGCCCTCATACCTCTAACAACACTCAAGACCACTGTATTCATAATCAATCTCCTTCTTCAATTCCTACTACCTTGACTTTCAACACAAAACTTCCTCTCTCGGTTTCCTCCTCAAGTGTCACCATGGCCAACGATTCTAGTGCGCGAAACGCTATCCCAGGTCTACTAAAACCTCGCTCCAAACTACACATTGGAGCCTTCAACGTACGTACTTTAAGTCAAATCGGTCAACAGGCCTCCTTAGCTAAAACCTTAGAGTCGCGTACCATTGATGTATGCTGTGTCTCCGAAACACGCATACAGGATCCTAGTGTGGTCATTCACTTGACCTCACCCCGCCAAAATGGACAGCCAACGAAATACACCCTCCGTGTATCTGGCGACCCGATGGCTAGTTCTCGTGGACTTGCAGGTGTAGGTATAGCACTAAGTACAAGGGCAGAACAGGCACTATTAGAATGGATCCCCGTTAACAGTCGCCTGTGTGCTGTCCGACTAAATGGCTCCGTAAGAACTCGGAAGGATAGGGACACACGTCGTTGCCTTTTCGTCGTTTCTGCCTACGCTCACACTGACTGCAGCCATGATGAGGTGAAAGATGACTTTTACAGAAAGCTCTCTGAGCTTCTTCAGAAAGCTAAGCGCTCAGACATAGTAGTCGTAGCGGGTGACTTTAATGCCCAGGTAGGCAGCTTAAATCAAACAGAAAGACATCTAGGTGGGTGTTTTAGTATTCCGGCTCAACGAACCGATAATGGTGATCGTCTGATGCAACTATGCTCAGACAATCGTTTATTTTTGGCAAGCACTAATTTTAAACATAAGGAGAGACATCGTCTAACATGGCGACCACCTGCACCAAACCAACGATGGACTCAAATAGACCATATTGTCATCAGTCATCGTTGGAGAGGCTCAATAGAAGATTGTCGCTCGTATTGGAATACTTGTTTAGACTCTGATCACGCTTTAATACGAGCACGCATTTGTCTGCGCCTCAATGGACGCAGGAAAAGTAAACTAAGAAGACCCGTTAGGATTGAACTGGAGGACGAGAAAGCCGAATGCGAATTCCAGAGACAACTGAGTTCACATCTAGGCAGTTCTGTAAACAAGACTGACCCAGATGCTGCTTGGAAAGACACACGAACAGCTGTGGAAACGGCAGTAACATTTATTAGTCATTTAAACCATAGGGCTCCAAAAAACCAGTGGATTTCTTCTAAGTCTATTTCACTGATGGATTCGCGTAAACTCATACCATCAGGCTCTGAACATGACGAAGAGCGTAAACAAATTAGATCTAGGTTAACTAAAAGTCTAAGGAACGATCGTGAGCAGTGGTGGGCAACGAAAGCAAAAGAGATGGAAAAGGCACCGGCTGTAGGCAACTATTCAGACTAATAAAAGAAACTGGAATTAAGAAGTCAAGTGTAAGTGAGACGATCTCGGAAAAAGATGGAACCCTTATCTGCTCTCTACCCAAACGTTTAGAACGATGGGCGGAACACTTTAAGGAGCAGTTTAGCTGGCATTCAGCTACTGCACAACTACCCACTATTCCTAGAAAACCTGAATGGAACATTGAAGTAGGCCCCCCGACCCTACTTGAAGTTCAAAAGGCTATAGGTAATCTGAAACGAGGAAGAGCAGCTGGTCCTGATGGATTGGCTACAGAGGTCTTTAAATATGGTGGTCCAATTTTAGCGATTAGGTTGACTAATATTCTGGCTAAAATCTGGGAGACGGATGTAATCCCATCCGACTGGTCACAATCACTGATTGTCCCAATATATAAAAAGGGGTCAAAATCATCCTGCGATAACCATAGAGGGATTAGTCTGACTAACATAGTATCCAAAATACTAGCCTCAATAATTATCAGGCGCCTAACTAAAACTCGTGAACTGCAAACACGAGAAAATCAGGCTGGCTTCAGACCTGGTCGTGGCTGTATCGACCACATATTCACCATTCGTCAAGTTTTAGAGCACAGACATGCTTATCGGCGTCCGACAATGATAGTTTTTCTTGACTTGAAAGCAGCATTTGACTCTGTAGACCGAGAGGTTCTGTGGCAGTGTCTGTCATTGAAAGGTGTACCTGAGAAGTACATAAACCTTGTGAAGGCTCTTTACTCGAACACTATCAGTCGGGTGAGAGCTTATGGCGAACTGTCATATGATTTTACAACCTCAAGTGGTGTCCGTCAAGGCTGTCCACTATCCCCATTTTTGTTTAACTTCATTATAGACCTGTTGCTGCAAATGACACTCTCGTCGACTGAGTTTACAGGAATTGATCTCCTACCAGGGGGACCACTAAGCGACTTAGAATACGCAGATGACATAGTCCTGTTTGGTGAAGACACTGACAAAATGCAGAGTCTTCTGTTGGAACTGAGTAATAATGCCAGGATGTTTGGGATGCGTTTCTCCCCATCCAAATGTAAATTGTTACTCCAGGACTGGCCTACGTCAACACCTGAACTAAGGATAGGGAGTGAAGTAGTCGAACGCGTCGACAACTTCACTTATCTTGGAAGTCTGATCAGCCCTAATGGGTTGGTGTCTGACGAAATCTCAGCACGGATTCAAAAAGCTCGTTTGGCTTTTGCCAACTTACGTCACCTATGGCGAAGACGAGATATCCGTCTATCAATTAAGGGACGAGTATACTGCGCAGCAGTTCGTTCTGTTCTACTTTACGGCTGTGAAACATGGCCATTAAGAGTAGAAGATACTCGTAGGTTACTAGTATTTGACCACAGATGCCTTAGAAATATTGCTGGCATCTGCTGGGATCACCGAGTAAGTAATAGTGAGGTTCGACGCAGGGTATTAGGTAACGATGGTAAATCAGTTGATGAGGTGATAAATCTTCATCGACTGAGATGGTTGGGCCATGTGTTACGTATGCCTGAACACCGATTACCACGACGCGCTATGATGACTAGTATTGGGGACGGTTGGAAGAGAGTTAGGGGCGGCCAAACCAAAACATGGCATCAGTGCTTGAAGTCACTAACTTCTAGCCTGAGCCATGTTGGCAGATGCAGACTACGTGGTTGGGGTCCGCGTGACTATAGTAACCAATGGTTGGAACCTCTGGGTGACATGGCTCAGAATCGGTCACAATGGCGTAGATGTATACACTCTTTATCTTCCCTTAAACCTTGATATTAAAATTGCTTCATATCTCTCTTCCTTCCTACTATATCCTTATATACAACCTTTCCTTATATACTACCACCACTAAATTAATTACTTCTATGAATCCGGTGTTCATCTTGTTGTGCTAACGAGGTATGGCAACTTGGACCGATGCATATATGTGCCTGGTCCTACGTTGTAGCTGACTGACTGACTGAACCCACCCTAATTGTTGTAATTACCTCTAAAATAATCACACTTTTGATCTTATCTGTCTTTGAATTCCACTCAACTATTACGCCACCCTTCATTCTAATACCTAATAACCTCTGACCTTTCCTTGCATATATATATATTTATATAGTTATCATTGATGATCTTTTGTTATTCCAATCCTTTACATTCACTTATGTCAGCCGTTCCATCCTATTTATTACCCTAATGCTAAAACTCTAATGCATATTTGGTTGTAAGCAGCTGATGAGAAACCACGAAATAAAATGAATTCATATTATTCTGCATCAATATTTGTTCTGCCTTTATTTAAAATCAACTTTTAACCATTTTATGATGTATTTTTAAATTGTTGGTATCCATTGACTCGGATACACCAATTTTCTCATTCCAAACGTTTTATAAAAATTTACACAAACTTATACCAAACAATACATTAACATGTCCTAACTCCTTTTGAATTATGACTCTGAATACACAGATAATCTTCATCTATCACACTGAGTGTTTTGAAATTCATGAAACTTTACTTTTAATTCCAATGTTTAAATACCATAGGATGAAGACGAGAAATAACCATTCTTATCCTTTGCATTTATAACCCCATATGCATATTATCATAGCATATGAAGGCGGTCCCGCCAAGCGAAGTTGAAATGCATTTAACTTATTCTGAGTCTCTAGTTATAGTTACAGAGAAAATCTGATCGCCAAGCACTTAAGGGTTTTCAAACTAAATATTTATATCGTTAACAACTGTCCAAAAAATGTAATTGTCATATATCAACAGGTAGTCTTTATCCCTAAACCATGTCTTCTCATTATCACTTCCACAAAAACGCCGTAGAGTCAACTGATCGCAAACGGAATACTTGAATCAAGAATACGAAAGGTAAAAATGGAAATAAATAATTAGTAGCAAGAAATTAATGTAGAATGCGATCAACTTAAATCTGAAATACATTAAGTACAAATAAAAATAATTTGTGTATTTGTTAGAAAAACAGTAGCTTCTAAAACTGGTAGAGAAAATATATTTCCTAGAAAGTAAGTAGTTGTCTCTTTATAAAAATTATAAGATAAACGATTGTACTGAAATTGACACCAGTAAGAATAACCTACAGCAACTTTAGTCATTTGCGTTTTTTGTCTGAGAAGAAATAACATGTTGTAAAGACTGTGGAAGTATAGCGCGTAATTCTTCTTTACATACTGTTCTCGTCAATTCAAGTAGATCTTTCTCTTTTAAAGAATATTTTGACTGTGCATTGTTACAACTGCTTTCTACGTGTGCTGATGAATCCCCGTTTACACTCAATAAAAGTGATAGTATTTGCGTCAAACAGAGTCGACGCAGTAAATGTATAATATCGTTGCCATCATCAGTACGAAACTGAGGAACGACATTACTGGTATTTTTATCAGACGAATGAGAATTGTCGGAACTCATAGATGATGACTGACCGTAATCTTCCACCAACCTTTCTAAAACTACTTGATTACGTGTGGGCCCCTTTTCCAGAGTGACATGCGATTCCCTTTGTGTGTTAACGGAGCTCAACTGACGATCACACATCTTATTATGCTTCTTACCAGCAAGATGAGCCTCTTTGGCTTGAACAGATGACAAATTTATTTGACAAATATCGCAAAACAAGAGTGACTGAATATTCTCGTTAACTGTACCGACATCGTCATTAGAAGGAACTTTGGCAGTTAATTTGGATTTCTGCTCATGTTCTGCAGATGAAAAGTGTTCGAGGAACTGTGGCTTTGATGCAAACCATTTATCACACAGACCACAAAAACACAAATCATCTGTCACCGTACTTTTTAACAGTCTATTATCATCTTGGCTTGAACAAGGTAAAGACACATCTTTACTCAAACTCGGTGAGCTTATCGAACTACTACAATCCACATTTAATATATGATGCCAAAATTCGTCATCTGTCTCGAATATAACACGACACCCAAAACATCTTCGAGCTTCTACTACATCCGTCATTTCTACAGTACTAAAATCAATAGGAGTAAAATAGAATTACAACCCTTTACACTTAGAACATAGTTTAAACATAAAATCTTAAAAACACTTAACATCAGTGTTTAATTACAAACTTTCACCAGTGTAAATGGAATGTAACATATAGTTATTTTTATTTATCCATCTATAGCTTCTCTATATTTTTTTATGTATCTATGTTTGACTACATGCATATCATTTACTGACTATAAAATAACGGATTTGTTAAATTGTTTAGTGTTATTATTTCTAATAAGGCAACGAAAAACAACCAGCTTTTGTATATGTAAAAAATTTCAGGATATTTATTCAGCATGTATCATAAGATGACGGGACAATCGACTACTAAAGTATCGGAATGAGTTTATTTGAAAGTTCATTTGATTGAAGCCGTTGAACAGTTTATCTTTCATATGTAATCTGTAACATAACAAATATCACAAGACAACAGCTGGCTGCATAATAGGTGATTAATATATTAATTTCACAAAATCATGACTATAAGTTACTTCCTGAATAATACTAATCTTGTACAAATAAATAGGACCACTTTAAACACAGGACCCAAAATTATGGTGAACTCAGCTATTTGAATTCAAATTATAAATATGTTTCATATTTTATCCAAGGTCCCGAGCTGACCAAAACGCCTACTTTAAGAGAAATAATAACAGGGCACAAGAACGCTTGATAGAGCATGTCTTTTGCTTCAATTAATTCCGAACGTACCATTAGATGATCCTGTTTATAGCGACTGCCTGACTAATTTGATAAGACTATGTGTAAATTGTTTGGAGCTGTACGCTATCAACTCTCAGCCTCGATTATCAGATTGTCTTAATCTCACCCTTACGTCATTGCTGATTATTGTCCATTGCCTTCGTTATTACATGTAAGTGCATTCTATGCGTTCACTGAGTCACCGACTTACTTTTCCTCTTCCAGATAATTTTATATACGGCTCTTTACACTTCTCCAGGACACAAGGTAACTTAGGACTGGACGAAAGCCTACCAAATGCTGAAGGTTCTACCTATAATGTCTCAGTAATTAAAGTTTAGGTTGGTAGACAGCAAAAAATGCCCTTAAATAGTTTAGGCAATCAATACATGACAGAAAGCAGTACATGTTACTTCGAAATTGGCGATTACCTCATCATTTAGTCTATACTCACAATGACTAAGAACTTAGTGTAAGCTATAGCTAAAATAATATCAAAGCAGTATGACGCTATGAGCCTCTAAGGGCACATTCACAGGAAAATACTAACATATACTGTACTGGTAAGATCTAAACTACGAAACGTGTATAGGCTAAAACTGTTTTAAAGTAAACTGGAACCTCCCAAAACATATTTAGAGAACTGCTGTATGTGTAATTTCCGAGATGATATTATTAGGGATAAGTCCGGAAATTAAGCCACGTTGTCAAAAACTATCATACTTCAGGTGAGACTATAATTTATGAACGAACAAATCAGATTTACGACAACAGGTCTTAGATTTTAGAGTAAAATTGATTCATCCATTTGGCTAAATAGTTTTGGCATAACAACCGATGTTAGTTCGTGATGAAAACCTCAAATCTAATTGCTAACCCTAACCATCAACTGTAAGTAATCTTAATTCCTCACACTGGTTTATAACCCTGATTTAGCTGCAGTATGTACGTGGACATTCTCAAGGTGCTTTTAGAATCGCTCGATGGTCGTCCATAAATTATGGTCTCACCAGACTCCATAGTAGTACTCAGGACGCCAGAAAACCTCCAACTTAATCTACTTTTTCTTTGAAATAGACGAAATAGCTCACAGGACTTAGTAGGCTAATTGAAAAATAAAGAGAAAAGAAATATTTTCTACTAATTATAATCTTTGATCTTGGGTCAAAACAAGTGGACATCTAAAGTAAGACTAATTGTTAAGTAGCTCCGTGTATTTCCTGTATTTAACTTTATGTTTTACATACTGATTGGCCGACCATCGTCAGCGTCTAATCCCAAAAAATTACGATCACTCCAACCAACCTACTACAAAAACATGTCACTCCTTGGCATTTCAACGCTTTTTTACAATGACAGAATACATACTGAAGTGTGGCATATAAAAACCAATGTAAGTCCTTAAAATAATACACGCGAGACAAATCTGTGGTACATTTAGGTTATGCAGATTATCATGGTGGTAATTAGATCTAATTACCAAGATATCGAAAAATAATAACTATCCATCGATTGTATTTGAGTCAGTTAACCAAAACTTCCTAAGCCTCAACAATGCTTACCCACTAACACTCCCAGCGTTGAAGGAAAGCCAATATACTAACCAAGTCCTTAGAGGGACAACTGTCAGCTTTCGACCATGAAACGTTCACGCGCCTCTAAGCAACACGTTCAACATTTCAGTCTTCAGTAATGAGGATCGAAGGTCAATCGATCTCTACTAATCCTTGCAATTCGTAATGCCGTGAAGGTCCAATCTCACTTTGTATACATCATCAGGTGTTGATATTGGGTGGTTTAGCAAAGACTTCCAGTAATTAACTACTCAGTGAGAGAAACGGAACTCCAGACGTAAAGGATTTTATCTCGGCTTTTGAACCTCCTTAGAATATCTTCTCATATGATCAGTCCGACATTAAAAGAAGAAAATAAGACTTGTTATTACCAAATTCGTTGTCCAGTATACGGTTAACCAGTATCTGATCATCTTATAGTCTGGAGACTCCGCCAGTAGCTCTCTTAGACTTACTGGCGGTCCCAAGCCCGGCTAAAGGAGGAGGTGTGGGCATGGGGTTAGAGACCCCATCCCGTAGAAAAATTAAATCGCTAAAAAACGCTAACTAGAAAAAATAACTGAAACCATTTAAATTCCATCCTGGGAGTTAAAGGAAGAATTATGACGCCTCATGATGAAAGACGAGATTTTTCGGCTAACAACCGGAGCAACAGTTTTTATAGGTACATGGAACGTCCGAACAATGTGAGAGACCGAAAAGGTCAGTCAGATAGCGACGGAAATGAGGAGATACAAATTGGAAGTACTCGGGATCAGCGAAAGCCATTGGACACAAGCTGGACAACAAAGGCTAGGTACGGAAGAGATGCTGCTGTACTCCTGTCACGAGAGGAAAAAAATGCTCCATACACTCAGGTAATTGCTCCAGAGAAGCATGAAATGCACTCATAGGATGGGAATCTCATGGATCCAGGATAGTCAAAGCATCGTTTAAAACAAAGAAGGAGGCGATCACAATGGATGTTATCCATTGTTATGCACCCACCAACGATAGCAACGACGACGATAAAGATCAGCTTTACTAGCGACTGCAATGAATCATAGCTGATTGCTGAAGAGAAGACCTCCCCATTCTGATGGGAGATCTAAATGCTAAAAACAGAGCGGACAACACGGGATATGAAGATATAATTGGACGACATGGACTAGGAGATAGAAATGAAAATGAGGGGAGATTAACTTAACTATATGCATTCAACAAATTTGTTATGGGCGGCACGATATTCCCCCACAAACGCATACACAAAGGTACATGAACCTACCCAGACCACACCACTATTTTTCCTTCTAAATAATTATTATTCTTAAGATTACGAAGCTTTAGGTTAAGACAATAACTTGTGTTACGCTGAATTCAACTTATCAGACTCGTTTTATCTTCATTATGTATATACACCTCATAAATATTGATTATCTTTTGCACTTAATTGGAACTTTCATAGCGTCACCCAAAACTATGACTGCACGCACAATCACTTATTCTAACGTCATATCTTACCGCAGTAATAAATTGTTTACTTATTAATTTATTCTGTTTTATTTTATTTTTATTACTGGTTTTGCTATACATACATAGTTGTTTATTCTTGTTCTGCGTTAAGATATTTACGCATTCCGCGACTCCTTTATTTCTATTTCCATAGTTTCTTCCTTTCCTCCTCCAAAATCAATTCAAAATTATTGCCAATTACGCAGAACCTGATTTATTATTACTATTATTATTACTATTCTGCTATTAATATTTTATTTTCCTTTTCCTTCCTTCCTCAAACATGGCATATGTAATGCTAACATTATGGAAAATTGTGTATTATTGCATTTTTGAAGAAACCCGAAATTGTTGCCTCACAGCACTTATGTACCCACAAGGTGTTTGTGAATAATAACAATAATAGATTATATTTGTATCAACACAAATTCGAAGGTCAAGGGAAGAAGTGAGAACCAGGAGAGGAGCTGACATAGCTTCATATCACTACCCGGTTGTGGCTGAGATGAGACTGAAGCTAAAGAAACACTGGACAACTGGACAAACAGCACTACAAAGGTTCAATACAGTCTTACTTCGAGATACTGACAAACTTAACGATTTCGAGATAACTCTCAACAACAGGTTCCAGGATCTACTGGAAGAACAAGAAACTACTTTGGAGGACAACCGGAAAGGGATAAAAGAAACACTAACTTCAACGTGTCAGAAGCTTCTTGGTCCTAAGAAGCATCATCATAAGGAATGGATCACTATGGGAACCCTGGACAAGATTCGAGAAAGGAAGAACAAGAAACTAGCAATTAATAACAGTCGAACATGAGCAGAGAAAGTCAAAGCACAAGCAGACTACGCAGAAGCAAACAGAGAAGTGAAGAAAAGCATTAAAGCCGACAAGCAGAAATACATGGGAGAACTAGCAACGACGGCGGAAAAAGCTGCAAGAGAAGGGAATATGAGACAACTATATGATACAACGAAGAAATTGGGAGGGAGATATAGCAAATCAGAGAGACCAGTCAAGGACAAAGTAGGAAAGACAATCACTGAGATTCAAGAACAGAGGAAAAGATGGGCAGAATACTTTGAGGAACTGCTGAATAGACCAGCCCCATTGAATCCACCGAACATCGAAGCAGCCCACACAGACCTTCCAATAGATGTCACTCCACCAACGATCGAAGAAGTCAAGATGGCCATCAGACAAATCAAAAGTGGGAAGGCGGCAGGACGTGACAATATACCAGCAGAAGCACTGAAGTCAGGCATTGAAATAACTGCAAACATGCTTCACCTTCTATTCAAGAAGATTTGGGAAGAGGAACAAGTGCCAATGAACTGGAAAGAAAGATACCTCATCAAGATACCAAAGAAAGGAGATCTGAGCAAATGTGAGAATTACAGAGGCATCAGTTTGTTATCAGTACCAGGAAAGGTTTTCAATAGTATTGTTGAATCGGATGAAAGACGCAGCAGACGCTTGATGTCGAGATCAACAGGCTGGATTCCGTAGGGATCGGTCGTGCACAGACCGAGTTGAGACATTACGGGTCATCGTGGAACAATCAGTTGAGTGGAATTCGTCACTACAGATCAACTTCATTGACTATGAGATGGCGTTTGACAGTGTGCACAAGAGAACATTATGGAAACTTCTTCGACACTATGGAGTTCCTGAAAAGATTGTCAACATTATCTGGTACTCATACAATGGACTACAGTGCAAAGTCGTTCATGGAGGACAGCTGACAGGTGCATTTCCAGTAGGGAACGGAGTCAGACAAGGCTGTCTACTCTCCCCCTTCTTCCTTCTTCTGGTGATTGACTGGGTTATGTGGACCTCGACATCTGAGGGGAACACACTGGAATACAATGGACATCTCAGAACCATTTAGACGATTTGGACTTCGAAGGTGATCTAGCCTTCCTCCTATCCCATACCCACAAACAAATGCGGATGAAGACAGCAAATGTAGCAGCAGCCTGTGCACCAATTGACCTCAACATATACAAAGGAAAAATCAAGATTTTCAAGTACAACATGGAAAACACGAACCCAGTCATACTTGATGGCGAGACTCTGGAAGATGTAGAAACATTGACGTACCTGGGAAGCATAGTTGATAAACAAGGAGGTTCAGATGCAGATGTAAAGGTGAGGATTGGCAAACCAAGAAACTCATTTCTACAGTTGAAGAACATATAGAACTCAAAACAACTCTCAACTAATTTCAAAGTCAGAATCTTCAATACGAACGTCAAGACAGTCCTACTGTGCGGAGCTGAAACCTGAAGAACTACTACATCCATCGATGACCTTGGTACTAACATGTCCTAACTTTTCCTCCCATCTAGGGCTGATCATTTGAGGGGACATTCGAAGAAAGTCCAAACGCCGAGATCAAATCGTCTATGTCTGGAATTTGGATTCTCGCAGCGAGTAGTGAATTACTGTAATTCTTTAACAGAACACTTAATATTAGCACCTTCTGTTGATGCATTCAAGACGAGATTGGACCTCCACAGTGCACCATACCGCAAGGATTAAAATAGGTCAATAGATCCCCTAACCTTATTACTGAAGACTGAATATCTTTTAACTCCTTCATTACTGAAATCTGATTTGACTGGGTTGGCATATTTTGATTATGAAAATTTTATTGGTTAAGGAGTTGTCAAACTCCGAGTACTTGTGGCATCTTTACAGTAAACAGCTCAAGGTCCAGTGACTTTCCACTTTCATCTGGGGATGTGCACAGTTTTATTGGTAGCCATGCTGAGCCTCAGTGATATTTCTATGGTCGTGAGCCAGAAATATTCTTCATAAATCCGTGTACATACTCCACAGGATAACCAAATTGTTACCACCACCTAAAAATCTAGTTTTTCCGAGTTGCTCAAGGTCGTCGCGAGTTTGAATTTTCTACAACTGGGTAGTAATCGTCGTTTATATGACGCGTAGGCCGACTCTTGTTACTAACTTTTCGGTTTTATGTAGGTGGAAACCAAAGAGATTTAGCTAGAGAGAAAAATTTGAAAAAACAGAGTGAACAGAGGAAGTCTAAAGCTAGTAGTCAAAAGGATGGAAATAAGGGATTAACTTTGGAAGAAAGACGTTTGAGGTAGGAACGTTATTCGGTTAGATTGTATGTTCATACTGAACTCCAGACTTGTTATTATTTGAACATTAGAACTGTGAGTGGAAAACGTAAACTAACTGAATCTAGTAGACATATTTGTAACAGCTCAGGTTGGTTGGTTAAGAGTTGACCCCAAACAACCAAGCATATGCTAAAACAGTATTGTTCAAGTATTCATTCACTTCCTTACCTTTTGTAAGCGTTATATTCCCCATTATCTTATATGGAATGTTGAGAGCCTTTGTTTGTCTGAACAGATAATCCAACGCTCCACTGTGACTGCGCGAAGATCGAAATAAAGACCTATTCACTACTTCTCTGGTTTCTTCTATCAATAGCACGAGGGTTACCTATAGGCACGAAATATTCACGAAGATTGTGAAAAACACCACATGTTAAAATCCCTTATGGTTGATGAACACAAGATGAGTGAAGAGGAATGTGGTACATTCAAAGACAAATTGAAAGAATTGTTTACGTTTACTCCTTGATCAACTCTACATCAGCTAACTCGTTTTGATCGATAGACGGATAAAATGTTCATAGCG